GTAATTTAATCAAAATCACAATGAAATCAAATGAAATTAAATCGCTTTTATCACCAAAATAAGACATTTTGATTCAATTTCAATATATTTTTCATAAAAATTCAAATATTGATAACACATATAACCTAAAAAGAGCACTCATTTCACTAAAAGTTTCTTTTACTGAAAATATCTTTGTATCAGATTTGAGAAGAATTTGATATAAGTTTACAAAAAAAAGTCTTTAAAAACTTTTTTAAGAAACGAAAGTGAAATAGAAGTGAATGGAAAAGGAACGGGACTTAAGCGAGCTACAGGTGCTTCAGTACATGGGTGGACGGGTTGGTAGCAAAAGAGACACACGAATGACAACACGTGTACCACTTCTTCGACATCCATGTCGTGGGAAAGTATCGCCAAAATGGGAGGACAGCCAATGGTTGGGCTCGTTATGCGAGGCCTGGATCTGGAACTGGATGTGTGTTGGAGTTTATGTCCCATTTTGCTAATACTATCCGTATATGCGTTTCACTGCAGGAAAGGGAGGAGAGGGAGCAAAACGTGCCGAAGAGTAATAGTGTCTATACTTTGCACTCAATGTATGGCTTATAATATAAGTGTGAATACAATGCCTACTATTCGGACAATACATCACTCAATGCCCGGGGCTTTGAATTCCGATACGAAATGTGTGTAAAAAAGTATTTCTATTTGAAAATCGTTTCTATTTTTAGAGTTGTGTTGAGACATAAGTCCACTGCCATTACCGGCTGAAGCACTCATATAAGCACTGGAAAGGTATGGGTTGTAGAGGTTGTGTGCGTTGGTTGAGCTCATGGGTGTCATCGACGAGGAACTGGATGTCTGGTATCCGATTGGCATCGCAGAGGATGTTGAAGGCATAGAAGTACTGGTCTTATAGGTGGACGAGTGGCCCATCATTTGTGATCCACTTATGGATGAGTCGATTAACGACTGATGAAAATGGGATCCATTGGGTGTGTATTGACTGGAAACGGCTGCCGTTCCGTGAAGTGGCACCGAATCACTCGATAGCGAACTCAATGATGACATACCGGTGCTCTGCGTTGAAGGCAGGGATGGATACATAGGTGTAGTGAAAGCACTGGGATTCCAACCGCTGGCCGACACGTTAGACTTGAGCGACAGTTCCCTTTGCGCGGAATAGCACTGCAAATGACTCATTAGCCGCAGTCGGAGGGGGTCCTGGAGGTCGAGGCCCTCGACGGCGACCATATAACGGGCCACTTCTGCCGTGCATTCCCTGAACCCAATGCTGTGATAATCGGTCGCAAACTTCTGCGGATCGAAAGAGAAAGTGTCGAAACCTATAGACAAATGACATTTCGGTTATGAATCAGTCGTTTATATCGAGTTTTAAGTGCTTTTTATGTTTCAATAAAAGCTTTTTGCAATCAATGCCGCAGTTTTTGTGCAAAATTCAGACCCAATATTAATAATAACTTATAATTAGCGCTAATATTAGTCGCGTGTATAGAGTATATGATAACCACTTCCTCGTCTCGAGTTATCCCTTTCCCACGACTCCTGCAAAGTGTATGTAATTGTAGAGCAAGTCATACATAACACACTTAAAAGCATTAAATGACATCTCATTGTATTGTTTGCCAAATATTAGACACAATTTGGTTTCAAATGCATTGCTCTCTCCTATTCTCTCTCATTATTTTTATTATCGTATTCTGAATGCAATGACTATTGAGTCGATTATACTATACATAGAATTTGTTATATTATTAGACGAAAGTTATTTGATTTGGAGTACGACTGAGACTGCAGTCAACACTGAGAGCTCAGAGCCTGAGAGCGTGGGAAAGAGGGAAAGTATGTTATGTTATTGCCTCAGCTCAGGACCATTACCCCCATTCCACCTCTCATTCTCTCTCTCTCTCTCTCTCTCTCTCTCTCTACAAAAAATTGCAAAAATGATATAAAATATAAGAAAATCATAAGAAATGATAGGAAATTGTATTCAAAGTCAAGTCTAATGAGCAGTAATTTGAAGACTATTTTCATCTCAAAGCGAAGCAATGATTGCGAAAAGCCGTCAGAAAAATGATACGCTTTTTGGAGACAAAACTCCAAATCCTTTGGCAAAGAGTATATAATTAGCAAAACTAATGACTTATAAATTGTTTTACAAAAAATATATTTAATATAAAATTCAACACAAAACCGCATAAAAAGTGTAGAAATGGTTGCAAACCTTTGGAGTGTAGGCCCCGGAGGTGGTCGACAGTCATCTGAAGGATCTCTGCCTTTTCCAGTTTGGTTGAGCCCTGCTTTTCAAAGGCCGCCGGAACCAGACGTCGCAACTCAAGCAACGAGTTGTTAATCCGATCTCTTCTGCGCTTTTCAATCATCTGATCATTAATTGCGAGAAAATATGGTTTAGTTTGAGAGACAACGAGTGGTTGTGTTGTGTTGTGTCAGCACTTACTCCGCGCCTCTTCTTCCGGCTCTGGAGATGACATGTCGTCGGCGTTGAGGTCGACATCACGTCGTCGGCCGTCGACGCAGTAGTGGTCGCGTGAGTGCGTCCGTCACCCAAATGTATCATCGCTTGTGTTTGTGTCCCACAAATGGCTGCAAATTCTTCGGCACTTTTACACCACTTATGAGATGACTATCGAAAGCAAAGCTTTCTTTTTTCAATCAATATTTCAATTTATTTATTGATAACTAATTAAAGAGTGGAGATATAGAGCACTGGTATGTATGTAGGGATGGCTTGTCTTAAGTCTGGGCACAGATAGCCTAACAGAGAGTATCCTACTCGACGTCTGTCCTCCGAGTGTCAGACACACGATAAGCAACGGGTCTATTGAGGAGCGAGTGCTGAGCGTTAGGTTCCGCACGAGTCCTGCACTTCGCCACAAGATATTAGTGGTGCGGATGTACTGTCACCTGATGTCTGTCCCATCAAACCCTACACCGCAGCCACTGATTGGTAGATCCGGTGCAACACCGCCTCCCCATCCCTGTCTCTCTCCCCCACAATCGCTATCCCTATCCCTATCCCTGATGTTGAGTGCAAACCGCACACACATTATAAGGCATACCATAGCCTACAACACAGAGTAATCGTGGACTCAGAGGTCGTGGGAAACAACTCTTACAACAAGTTATGCCATAAGTCAGGCCTAACAGCGATTACAGCGATTGTAACACACATTCAGACGAGTCGATAGACAATCACATAATTAATGAATACTTTGATTACAACTCTCTTCGCATTCTTTACTCCTATTTCTCTACAAAACTATTCAATAGATTTGATGTTCACTTCAAATAGGAGTCTATTTTATACTCAAATATTCATAACTTGTTATTCATTCACACGATCTCTGAATTCACACTTTTATTACAATTCTCTCCACTGTTTTGTTTTATTTCGCAAAATATTTTCAACAAAAGTTATTGAGAGATGAAAATAAATTTAATCTATATTTTGACTAAAATGCAGACAAAATGCCATTCATTGCCATAATAATGTTCTCAACGTTTGATTCCCACTATAATTGCCTCTCTCTATGCACTCGGAGTTCATATTCAATGACTTGTCTCTCAACTAAACATTGATTTAATGTTGAATTCAACTAAAAGTGCACTTAATGTCAAACAGAGGTCTCGTTTTGGATGTAAATTGTAATCAACTTTTCATTCATAAGATCTTTAAATCCCGAAATAATTACTGTATTGACAGTCGTTTTGATGAGAGACACACTCGAGTGCACACATGGCATCCCATGGCCTACCAGTGCCTCCACTTATGTAATGATTGCGAAAATGGTTTTTCACAGCTTTTGGAGAAAAAACTTTTATCCGACACTTAATTGTATGACTTGTTTGCGAAAATTGAATGAATGACTGAATGAATGATTTGTTTTCACTTTTGATTTTAATTGAAAGTAAACCTCTTTTTTGAAAGAAAACCTTTGAATCACTTTCTATTGAATGCATAAGAGTTTCACTTATTATTTGAAAACCTTTTCTAAATCCCAGACAATAGGGGAAGAAATGTGCAAATCTTGGACTCATTTCTGGAGAGCGTCTGTCCATTGAAATGGATGTCCACCACAGGTCTGACACACGAAAGGAACGGGTCTTTTGAGGTGAAGAATAGAGAAAAACAGTTGTGTTGTGCGGAGGGGACAGTAGTGTACGGCATATATAGCTGTTTATGGGATGGGAGGCAATGGATGCACGAGTCGTACAACACTCGCCCTAATAGTGATGGGAATCACTCGTACTCTCCGTTCCCATGACATGACGTGTGGGAGAGAGTGGAGAGTGAGAGCCGACTCACAAACAGCTTATACTCCAAAACTGCTCTCAATTCTCATACCAGAGCTAACGGTGCGGACGATGAGTGAGAGTTTGTGCCACTATTTTGGGTCTCTCTCTCTCTCTCTCTCTCTCTCTCTCCTCCATAACAGCAAAGAGTAACCAAAAGCTAAACAATGATTGTGTGGAAAGTGAGGCACAAATTGGTGCGGAAGTGCTGTAACACTGCCTCAGCCCACGGCACTGGTAGCTGTCGTGCGTTGGATACTGTGGTAGTGTTGGAGTACAGGTGCTATAAAGCTATTTAGTGTGTGTTTAGCATTCAGTGTCTAATATTGAGTGCCATTCCTCTCACACACTCTTCACACGAGCTCTCGATTAGTATTTTTGTGATTAAACGCAGACCTAATGCCAGGTGTAGTGTCCGACTGTCGGCCCTATCTATGCATTGCATACAAATGTATGGGAAAGTGGTTTCCCTTTAACAGCAAACTATGCACTCATTGCTCGCATCCAGTCTTTCCTCCCATTAATTGGTTTTGTGTTTTACAATCAAAAGTCATATAATTATTATTAAACGTCAAAAACCATTGACTTTGACATTGACTTCACGAAAGCTTATAGTTATCTGACATTTGTTTGAGAAGTGATTCTTATCTTAATTTAAATTTTTGAAATTTTCTGATAAATAAAACTAAATATAATTTAAAATCAAAATCTAAACGATTAGTGAAATCTCTGTGAGGGATGTGAAAGCAATTCAATGATAAATGACTTGAAATGATGGCAACAATCATATGAACCGCAGCTCTAATACTGACTAAACATTAATTGTTTTGTTTTTTAGAAATACTTTTCTAAATCTGATAAAAATCGGTTTAATGTGTACTTTAAGCCAAGATAGGGACCAAACACAACATCCCCTCCCAGTGTTTGACAACTTTTGAGTCGATTATGACTTTTAGACAACATTTGATAAAAAGATACACTTTTTATGATTACTTAATGTTTAAGATTTATATTCTGATGAGAAATATCTTGCGTTCAGTTCAACACAAATGCAATTAAAGACAAAAACCACTAAAATTTGATATCGACTTAAAACTACACAAAAACTAAATACCGGTGCGAATGGAGAGCACATAGAGAGCCGTCAGAGACTACAGAGACTACAGGCGTGGGAACGGGCGATGCGTTTGTTGTGATTACATAACACACCGGCTATTGATTGAGTGCTAACACAGGGATGGCATCGAAATCACTGCAAACCCTGTCTATGAATACAATGAATACGAGTTTTGGGCTTAAAGTAGAGGTCGTTATGAATGCAATGATAAGACACAAGACATGCAAAGCCTGTCCGACAGGTTTACCGCACTTTCAGACAATTATTCATTTCTTGAGTCCATCGGAGTCTCAGTCATGGGATCCACTAATCGCTCATCGATTGGATCCGCAATTAATTTCATTCAAAACTATTTATGTATCGACTCTTGTGGTCGAAGGGAAAGGCATTCAAAACGATATAATTATAGTCCAAATAATCGTCAATTCAATGCTTGTCTCCACTATTTTGACGCTTAAATGCATTCAAAATGTGTTTTGCATTCATTTGTTTAACTCGTATTCAAGTCATAAACACTCAAAAGGATTTAAAACTTCAGAGTATTTTTCGTTTGCTTTTAAATTAAATAAATTTTTAGTCAAATATATCGAAAGTCTGACAAATATTTGCTCAAAAAATAGTTATCGAATAAAGTGTATGCAAAACACGCACAGAATGCCTGCCCCTATACTCCCGGTGCTCTATCCCGGGCTCTGAACTAAATTCTCTCTATTATTACGAAAAAATAGAAACGATTTTCAAATAGAAATACTTTTTTACACACATTTCGTATCGGAATTCAAAGCCCCGGGCATTGAGTGATGTATTGTCCGAATAGTAGGCATTGTATTCACACTTATATTATAAGCCATACATTGAGTGCAAAGTATAGACACTATTACTCTTCGGCACGTTTTGCTCCCTCTCCTCCCTTTCCTGCAGTGAAACGCATATACGGATAGTATTAGCAAAACGGGACATAAACTCCAACACACATCCAGTTCCAGATCCAGGCCTCGCATAACGAGCCCAACCATTGGCTGTCCTCCCCTTTTGGCGATACTTTCCCACGACATGGATGTCGAAGAAGTGGTACACGTGTTGTCATTCGTGTGTCTCTTTTGCTACCAACCCGTCCACCCATGTACTGAAGCACCTGTATCTCGCTTAAGTCCCGTTCCTTTTCCATTCACTTCTATTTCACTTTCGTTTCTTAAAAAAGTTTTTAAAGACTTTTTTTGTAAACTTATATCAAATTCTTCTCAAATCTGATACAAAGATATTTTCAGTAAAAGAAACTTTTAGTGAAATGAGTGCTCTTTTCAGGTTATATGTGTTATCAATATTTGAATTTTTATGAAAAATATATTGAAATTGAATCAAAATGTCTTATTTTGGTGATAAAAGCGATTTAATTTCATTTGATTTCATTGTGATTTTGATTAAATTAC